GTGTGTGTGTGTGTGTGTGTGTGTGTGTGTGTGGGCAATGGCAAAGTAACCTTACACGTAAGTAAGTTCCCAAACGGTCATCCACCCGAGCTCTGACATCTGACAGTGCTGCATAATTTTGGTGACTGGAGGGGAACACTTTTCATGCTGCCGCATGTTTCTACTGCTCATAGTTCGAGACTACTACATCATCGGAACATACGTAACACTGCAGAACACATGCACCTGACTTCAGACTTATGCCTCTCCACAGACGATATTCACAAAATGAGCGTGTCTCGTCTCTGACCTTAGTTAACAAGATAACAGCTAGCAGAGCGACGAGGCAAATTATTCTGAAATCTACTAAATTATAGTAACATAATTTCTATATTAAATTATTTAAAACAAAGTTCATTACAAATACGAGTACCTAACCTCAGAAATCTGAGAAGTTCTGGGAAGACAGTTATTTTTATAATAAGATACTAAACTTGATGGAAGGATAATATGCACCGAGCAGTGGTGCTATCTAGAGGAAATATTTTCTGTAGCGTTTGTCTATAAAACGACCCCGTCACATGACCTTATCTACCCTTTCCTTTAATGTAACAAAGCATCACAATGGCTTAAAATCTCTCATAACGCTCCCCGTTACTTCTCCATTAAAACAAGAAGGATGCATTTTACTTAGCCACAACTTGATATGGCTCTAATATGCAAAACAAACACTAACAGACACTTTTGAATTTCATTAATAGCTATCATTTCAACTTACCGGTACGCCCGCAATTTTGCCCGCATGTATTTTTATATTCCCTTTTGTAAACAAAGAGCTGCTTATTATTTTGTACGATGTAAAACGACAGAAAATGGAAGAAATTTAGAAATGCAAATATTACCACCTCTATCCAGTGTTCCCACAGATGATCCTACTATTGGCCCATTGTTATATTAATCACGATTAAACCGAATATGCAAGGTACCAAGACTGGAGAACTGTTTGCAAAAATAGAACTGTCTTACCGACTGAAGCATAGTTACCACTCGCTGCCGCCTGGCGGTTCTATCAGTAACTACTCACAACAATGTCTTCTAATAACGACTAAATATAGGCAGAATGTTGTATAGTCATATGGGCCCAGTACCCATAGCTAATGCGGCTTCAGCTTTGGGCTATGATATTTTGACTTAAAATTACGTGAGCCCTTCATGTGTCTGTTTAGCCTTTCTGATTTGGCTTGTGTTATCCGAATTGCTTAGGGCGATATAAAATTATGGAGTCAGTTCATGCATGTCTTCTGACTCACTTGTCATCTGATGATCTTCCCGAGTCATCGCTGCGAATCCTCCTCAGAGGTAATGGCCGGACATCTTGGATTTTCACTCGACCTCCGGTGACTTTTGACAGAATCTCTTCCGTCTCTTTAGGATCCACCGGATATCCGTTCAAGATGAAGGTCATGTTGCGGGCATTCGGTTCGGGCGGGTATATAAGAACGGGCACTGTGTTGGATCTGTAAGGCACCCCTGCAAATGTAACAGGTCCACGTTTATACAGACTTAGAGACACACCTGTAAAATTTGACTTTGCGACATAAATGGAAACAGATCAGAATTTATCAATCGCAAATTCATTTCCTTTACCGCAGCTAAAATAAACAGTGTTTTACAACAATTTTACTTTATATTTAATTTGAGAGTTTAAATTACGTTGTGTTAAATATTACAAATTTCTCTTACACAGAGATTTCACAAGGCTGGAGCCGCGGAAATTGGCCCATGGATCAACAGCCACCACATCCCTCGAGTTATTGCTGGCCCCAATCCAGCGTAATTCCCTTTATTCCTTTTCTAGCCATTCTGCTTGCACTGTGGGCTAGATAACACAGGTCGGATGGGGCTGGACAGGAATATACGTGTAGCTGTAGGAAGGAACGGAGTAGTTGGAATGCATAGGAGTTCTTTTGGTTGCCTCAGTGTAAGTCAGTCAGTCAATTTAGTAGCCTGGAGGCTAGCTCTTTCTAAGGGACCCAACAGAATAGGTGTTTTCCCTCACCTGAGGACGGAAACAGATCCAGTTTCCGAAACGTCGTGTTTTTCTTGGTTATCTTAAAAACCAGGACGATGGATAAAGTCCGAAAACCCAATATCTCTGTTTGTTATACACCATCGTCAGAATCCTATAGTAAGTAATTATTATTATTGTTACTGCAAATGGGTTTTACCAGTTGGCAGTGGTTCTACAACAAGACACAACACACCACAAAACACAGCACACAAAACTACACAAACAATAAAGGACACGTTAGGCCCATTAGGTTTTCCTAATGGTCTATTTCCTTCAAATTATCCTACAAAAAATCTGTACGCACTCTACTTCTCCCTCCTGCGTGCTGCCTGCCCCGTCCATCTTACGCTATTTCACTTGATAATTCTAATTATATTTGGAAAGAGCACAAATTGTTAAGTTCCCCATATTCAATTTTCTGCAGCCCATCACTTCAGTGCTTTCAAGTCCAAATATTCTCAACATCTTATTTTCACACGCCCTCAGTCTATACTGTTCTCTTAACGCGAGAGACTAATTCACATACCTATACAAAACTACAGGAAAAATCACACATTTGAATATTTTAATGTTTATGTGTATAGATAGCAGACGATTCTGAACTTAACGGTAGCAGACATTGCCTCAGTTGACTCTGTTCATAATTTCCTCATAAATCGAATTTTAATTTGATAACCAAACGTTTATACAATAGTTTTCTTCAGAACTAGTTCTAATCAGAAAGTGTCACAAGGCCTAATCCGCGACAAGAAAAGAAGCAAGGAAGAAACTGCATTGTTAAATTCCTCTTTGCCAGATGTACGAGTAACAGTTGGACAGGCCTTGTAGCTCAGACAATGAATTACTGGTTTCTCGCTGCAGAGATCCCAGGTCATTTCTTTTGGGGTTTGTGGTGGACAAAGAGACATTGGGTCTGGTTTCTTACGACATTCTTGGTTTCTCCTGCCAATTCTTATTCCACAGAATGCTCCATTTCTCTCCCGTATTATGACACACTATCATCATTCATTCATTCATTCATTCATCAATGGCTCTACAGCCCTTTGTTGAGCCCTGAACTCTATTTCAGTTTCGCAATTTTTTTTTACGCATAGTAGGACTCCTTGGACGAGCGATTAGCCCTTTGCAAAGCCGCTACCTGCACACAGGATAACATAAACACAGAATGAACGCACATAGATATACATGCTTTGAGTGGGATTCGAACCCACGATCCCAGTGTCCGAGCGTGCGAAGACAGTTCATGCCTTAGACCGCGCGGCAACTACAGCTTAACTATCAAGTGAATTAGTCTGAATACATTCTTAAAGGTAAATAGGAGGTCTATAGCCGCCTTACAGTTATGCAGCGTCCCATAAGTCTGGAATCATGAATAATATGCCTCCTCTGTTTCTCCAGGCTGTGAGTAAAGGCAGTGACAGAGGTTAAAGGCGGAACTTGGAAAGTAAATCTGCTTTATGAAGGTCACAGACAGAAGGATGTCGCAATAATATTCGAGACGCGCCATCAGTATTACTTGTGGGGTAATTGAAAAGCCAATACACACAATACCAAGCACGTAAGAGAGCTATTTGAACTTGTTTGCAGCGAGATCACTCAACGAATTCGCTTGCTTCTATTGTACTAGCAAAAATTACGAATATTTATGACGACGTGAGTAGTGGACCTGTTGAGCATAAAGGGAGTTGGGAGTTGGAACGCTGTGTAGTTTGAGGAGTCTGAACTTGCAGGTGCATTTACTGGTGCCTTGCTAAATTTCTTCTTGGATCCTGACGTCCGAAACGGCGGGATCTCTTCGAACTACACAGCCTCATAATACAGAACCGCATCCCCGACATATTTAGTATATTTTGTAGCAGGTGGGTCTAATGTATGGTTTCATACTTATGTGACACTGTAGAAAGTGGACGTACAAGAACATCGTACCCAAATCATACGCCCTGACTAGAAGGTTGAACTTCTGAATCCTGCCCTCCTCTCGAATCTTACTGGAGACCTCTGTATTGGTTACTGTCAGCACACCTGGAACAATGTGACATTCAGATAGAATAAAGCCATACAATGTGATTCGAAATTATTGTCGGGGTTTCCGTGGCCTATAATTCTCAAACCTCACGTGCCATAAAAGGCGCGCGTGTTGAAGTTGTTTAGCATTTTTCAGTGTCAGTTCTATAAATAAAAAACATGCTGCGTTACACTTTCATATTCCGTAAGCAGTTTGTTTCTTTTTTCCGGTTTGAAAACTACGGACTACGTAAACCCCGACAATAATTTAGGATCACCCTGTACTTCAAAGAGTTGATACGAAGCGCGACCATGCAGCGAGGTGCCACATGTGAGGCACCTGCAGATGCTGCAGTACCCTGGACTCCAGTCGTTACAAGGGTGTCTGTACACCGACCTCATACTAAGGTGAGTGATATTGTATTAGAGGATCAGGAATTGAAAGGGATATGGAAGGTATCTGTCGTGGCCTATTTAAAGGCAGGCTCACTGTTCCAACATTTGTCTGAAAGGGCTGAGGGAGGTATAAGCCCTTATTACAACGGGCCGATTGGGCACTGCAAGCTCAAGTGGAGTACCAATGGTGCAAATATGGCGCTGTCTGGGAGTGCCAATGACAGTATGGCGAAATGAATGTTTAAAAACAAAACGTAAAGCAAGAATCCATAAATCAGTTACACGATTGATCTTAGTGTAGGCAGCGGAGGCCGGAGCCCTCATTTCCAGAGCAAAGGAAATGTCTGACAGTACAGAAATGAACAGCTTAATGTGAATTGTAAAGAAGGACAGGGTTGCTCCTGTAAGAAACCATGATATATGATAACAACTTTGAATTCCGCCATTATGAAACTGGGTGAATGAACTTAAAGAAGAATGACATAACCGCGTTTGAAGAGTGATAGACTGGCTCTCTCAGGGGCATTTCCAAACACGGAGCTATGTCACCCAGTGCAGGAACGCTAGCGTGACTAGAGCACAGGCAGAGGAGGTGCTGGAAGACCAGTTATAAAACATTCACACCAGAATACAATTTATTGCAAGGAAAATGCATTTACGATTGTCTTGAAAATGTATGGGACAGAAGATTATTGTTTGAAATGCAGTTGTACGCAGGGCCTAAATAGCAGCAAGGGAGCCGTAGGGATTTGCAGAGGACTATAATCAGTTCACGGTTCGGTTGTGTACGTACCTGTGCGTATGTTAATGTGGAACATTTCATTTCGATTTCCCGACACAATTTCATATTGAACCTCGTTGTTAGGGGCCTCCGCATCACCATCTAAAGCCTGAAACAAAAGAAGCTTATAAATTTTTGTGTTGAGCTCTCCGAGATTCCTACTCGTTTTCATATGTCTTCAAACAATAAATAAAACTTCAGAGAAGTCGCAAATAAAGCAGCGTGGTCAGGCAGGTTCACACGGTAAGCTAGTGACAGCGCCCGGTATTCGCCCACGCTTCTCTATTTTCTTCTGAGGACTGCTTTACGGTGCTGTCAGTAGTTGAACTATGAACCCTTGAGTGGCAGGAGTGCATATGAGAAAGAATTGGAAAGGATTTGGAAGGAAGGCCTATTTGAGATACTATCCTGACATTTGAGTGGTTGAAGTAGGAAACACCACGAAATTAATTCAGTTAGGAGAGCCGGTGTCCGGGTGAGATTCTAAAAACAAAGGAATAGAACAGAAGCCCAAGAACAAGAAAATAAACTGGAGTCAATATCAGCACACAGAGAACCAGGTTTCATTTTGTTAAGATTAAGAATCTTGGACTATTGGAGTTCCCACGTGATCGTTACCCAGCGAGTCCAACGGGGAACTGGCTGTTGCCTAGCAACGGGTCTGTACGCCACAATATTTTATAATTTACTCTTCTTAATTATTAACATATTAAACGTACTCGCTGTTACTTTATGTACATAACATATATTTCTTACTTCATCGTGGTTGGCAATATTGCACTAATTGAATGGCTACTGTCAGAACGATACACATTGCTTTGTTTTGTGTGTCTGTTTGCGCGCTTACTTCAAAATTGGCCTTTAGGCTGTTGAGTAAGCACGCGAAAAAGTAATTGAATTCAACTTAATTTTTATCAAAGCATTGAATTTTGTGGCTGCGTATGTTTGAGCCCCCCCCCCCCTCTACTCCAACCCGCTCGGTGAGCTGAAGGCACGAAAGCTGAAGATTCAGTAAAGCCCTGCCGGAGTTTCGCCTTTATGCGGAGAGTACAGAAGCGGAAGATCTTACCTTTATGACTGCAGGTGAGGTCAGACTCCTGAGATCCTTCCCCAACACAAACTCATAATCCGACCTCATGAACATGGGGGTGTGGTCATTGACGTCGAAAACCGTGATGAGGAGGGTTGCCGTGGCACTGTTGCCTTGCCCGTTCCTGTCAGCAGCCACAACGTACAGCTGGAACTCTAACAAGTGCCATCTGTTCATAATATTTGCCAGTACAGTACAGAGAGGGTATAAATAAATGGATGTTTTATTTCAATTTTAAATGTTTATTGACTGACATAAGGAAAAGCAGTAATGTAATTTGTTGAGGCGCTATGCTACAAGCCAGAAGATCGCGGGTTCGATTCTCGATGAGGTAATTATATTTTTCAATTGACCTAATCCTTGCAACCGCACTATGGACCTGGGATCGACTCACGCTCTAATAGCAATGAGTACCAGGGATCTTCCTGGGGGTAAAGGGCGCCTGGCCTTCACCGCCATCTGTGAGCCGACTGTCTAGAAAATGTAGAAGCCTCGACGTCTCACAAACCTATGGATCTCCACAGTCTGTTATAGGGTTCGCTTTACCTTTACATGTTATTGACTGATTATGACAGAATAACAACAAAACTGACTTAGCTTGTTGTGGTTTATTTAACGACGCTTACTGTAGCTAGACTGCATTGCGTCAGATATTAGGATGAATGATGAACTGTTCAGAAACAAGAGGAAAGGGAAGCATCAGTCAGCTAATAGAGATATGGTATAGACATTTGCCTGGTGGGACTGAGAATTATCATAAAAATTCTCAACTGGCATAACCAGTGTCCTGATCTGGATTCTAACCTAGAACCCTTCATTCATAATAGTCCAGTTCTCTCTATAATACCACTTATCTGTAATCGCTAATATCCTTTTCTTCTTGAGAACAGGACCAATTCATGCTAGACCGCTGATTTGTCAACAACTTTCAACAGTTTCCGATATTCTCTTTGGCATGAAAGAATTGTTCTTGCTGTTGAAAACCAGCTATCTTGACCGAAATTTATCGTGGTTTTCTTCAGTTCCTTCAGAAAAATTACAGGTTAATGTCTTCTATTATTTTCCAATCTTCTGTTTGGCATGAAAGAATTGTTCTTGCTGCTGAAAACCGGCTACCTTGACCGAAATTTATCGTGGTTTCTGTCAGTCTTTGAGGCAAATGACTGCATAATATCTCGAGTATGCACAATCAGTCCCCTCCAGTTCACCATGCTACCATTCAACGATACGCAGTCCAACTAACCAACCCACAGAAAAGTTACTGACACGATTGTCTTTATAGTAATGTAGAAAAACTTTTCAATGAAGCTTGAAATTGTTGTTTACCTTTTGCACTCTCTCTATCGAAAATGTGCCTGTTCGTTTTGACAGTGATCCAGCCACTCTTGTTATCAATCTGGAGGGAGTTATTGTCTCTCATTATGTTGGTGTATGCTACTTCGCCATTTACGCCTTCATCAATATCATCTGCCGCCACCTGCAACAGGGAATTCTTCATTAGAAATGAACCTCCAATCAGACAGTCCCATTGCATATCCAGAGAACTAAACTAAACAGAAAGGGAACATAAGGCCTAACCCATAAGGTAGACGGTTCTGCTGCTGAAAATTGTATTTACGCAGGAAGGGCAAACATAACAATACTGAAAGTTTTCGTGAGCTCAAAAGAATGATTGGGTTCTGGATTATTTAAAGAAGTTCTACCAGCTGGTGAGGTTAGGTAGCGACGAATGCGACGAAATTACCATGAATTATAAAATGATGAATGGTTCATCTAATGAAGATGACCTGACTACAGGGATTATATGATGAATTTCAGACGGTGACCATTTACTGTCTGATTGATTAATGGATTATTGGGTGAAGCTGTCTGGACTACAGGGGTTACATTGTCTCTACGGAGAGGATGACAAGATTAGCAAAATTGTGAATTTAGTTCGCTGCTATTGCATGATAATTTTGGTTTACTGACTGCAGAGTACAAAAACTAGGTTTACGCCATGCAGGTTCAGTAGACTAGGGGTAGTAAGGTTTAAGAGGTTATTGCAAGTTGTGTAATCACAGATTGTGTGTGTTAATAGGCTGCACGTGTGTAATTGTTGATTCAGCTTCCCTTGTACGTTGAAAAAATAGTTTGGTAATAATCTACGCCGTGCCATAATGCAGGCCATTAGTCGCGGCGACCCGGGCTCGAGCCCATGTCAGGTCATGTGGGATTTGTGGTGAACAAAGTGGCACGGGGCACGTTTTCTCCGAGTACTTCGATTTCCTCTGCCAATTCTCATTCCACCGACTTCTCCACACTCATCACCTATCACCCGGGGCTGGTACAATAGGCCAGTTAACAGGCGACTAACAAAGTGGACTCAGTCTCACCCCACCCGAGGAAACCCTAAAAAATGACATTCTAATAAACATAACGAACCATGTCGCTATAAGCTGATGACCCACGAAAGGTGCTCTGAAGATCACAAAAAACGACACTTGTGTGAGTCCAAAAACCGTGACACGTTAAGTGTATTCTTTATTACCCGTGGAGTGGGCTGAGGTTTGAGTCCACTCTGTACCATTGCCACTTTGGGCCTATCGTACCAACCTCGGATGATATATGATGATGTTCGTGGAGCAGTCTGTGGAAGGAGAATTGCAGCGGCTACCGAATTACTCCGAGAAAACCTACTCCAGTCCCCTTTTATCCATCGCAGATCCCACATGACTTGTCCTGGACTCGAATCCGGACCGGCGAGGTGGGAAGCCGGCTACTAACCGCCTGGGCTATGGCACAGCCCCGTACACGCCACAGAAACAAAAGATATATTTGGAAATTCGATGCAGATTTCTCTGTACAGCACGTCAGTAATTGCATAAAGAGTCAGTAGAAGTATCCAACCTGTATAACTTTGGTGCCAGCTGTAGCGTTCTCTGTCAGGTCCGCCCTGTACACCCTCTCGCGGAACACTGGAGGATTGTCGTTCTGGTCCCTGAGGTAGACTGTGATGTCAGCTGAGCTCGACATGGAAGCCTTCGGACCGACCTCACGAGCTTCGATCTGCAATTAATGATATACGTTAGCATATGCATGAATATTTCTGGACGTACAGATTGTTCTCAGGGTGAAATTCCACGTACCTCTTTTCAGTAGCCATATTTTTAACTCAGACTACACGGTATCATGCATTACTAATAAAACATATGTGAATAATTTTATTTGAAACAAATTCTGTTTGGTTATGCACAGAAGACGTTCTATAAAATAAATTTGTAGAAACATTTTAGACTCATTCAATCTATGTTGGACAGTGTCATACACAGCGCGGCCCGAACAACAGGAGGACACCAAGAAGTCCTCCTCGTCAAACGACGGAACCACGACGCGGCAGACACTCAACTTCCTCTAAAGAGAGGAAGTATAAAGAGCACGGATCAAATTGGTTCTAGATTTTAACAAAGTCTTTAAAACCACATTTGTAAATATCCTAATTATAATAATAGATAAATATTTTAATAAATTCATGCACATCGCTGTAGTTCTTAAACGCTAATATTTTATATTCATGTCATTGTGATGGTGTTGTATGTATGTATTGATATTGACCAATTGTATTGATATATCTTTCTGAAGATGGTCTGTCAGACCGAAAAATGTCACGGATGAAAGATTAAGAAGAAGAGAAGGAAATTTTATCAGTCGCACTGGACGCAGTTGGTAGCCTTTTGTACTGTTGCTAGTGTGACGGACCAGGATGAAACAACCCAAAAACCCAGTAATTCTGAGTATTATACACCATCGTCAGAACAATTAGTCAATCTCTTCCTTCCTTTATTAAACCTGAAGGAAACTTCTGTGTTGCCACCATGCACCTGAACACCTATGTAGTCCAATTCTCTTCTGTCTGAAGTTCTCGAATTTCTGAAAATTGTCATATACGTCTCCAGTATTCATTAAGTTTGGTTGCCGCTGGCACAAATTGTGAAGAAGAATATTGATACAATTCTAGAATATTATGTAGTGTATATATGTGTGTCTTGATTATTCTTACCCACCACTTACTTCGAATCTATTTCTGGGTCATTTTCAGGTGGTAAACATTGTCAACATCAACCATTCTGATCATCACCTCACATTTACTAACAGAATATGAGTTACATGGGTATCCGTCATTAGGTCAAATAGTGAAATAGAGTAAACTCTCGTTACAACGGCCCCGGATATAGCGGACAAAATCTAACTATGTAGAACTGTGAATTTTTTAGATACTGTGACACTAAGAAGGTTTGGTAGTTGAACAACAGAATATAATAATAATAATATTTTCACTTTTATGAGTGACTTATAAGACGGGGTTTTGGATTGGATGACTGGATTTGTTGCACCTTATACATTCACACAACACTGGGCTACAGGCGCTATCGCTATCCTACACACTTTGCAGTTCACCGTTGCACACGCACTAGAGTTCTCATTCTTCACTAGTCGTATCCTGGCAACGGATTTATAACAGTCTAACTGTAACTTCAAATCACATCTGAAGTCTTCCTGTCAGAATCAAATTAATTTCTTACCATTATTCTGCAGCCCGACTCACTTCAATTCCAAGCTCATATCCTGGCAGACTGGCGTCCCGAAACAGGATTCTTCACTGTCTACTATTGTTCTCTACTACTCCTACTGTTCTATCTCCTCAAGCCACATTCTCTGTCCTTTATAACCCCTCGGCATGGACCCCACGAAAAAGAGCCTGTATTGTTAAGGATGAGTGTTTACTGATCCGTTGCCTAGCAATGGATGTCCTCTTGTAGCATGGGCGTGTGTTGCCTAATAATGGGTGCACACGTCACATTATAATGGGGATTTACTGTATATTTTCATGTTTATAATTATATAGTTCATTATCTGACCCTGGACCGCCTCTGTGGTCTAGTGGTCAGAGTTACAGGCTACAGATCCAAAGGTCCAAGGTTCGATTCCCGACGCTGCCAGACTTTCTGAGAAATAGTGGGTCTGGAACGGGGTCCACTCAGCCTCGTGAGGATAATTGAGGAGCTCTTTCGAGGAAATGGGGGCTCCGGTCTAGAAAAACGAAATTAACTGCTGTGGGGATTCGTTGTGCTGACCACGCGACACCCCTCTATCCGCTAAAGTTGACACTAACTTCGCCGACAAGTGGCGGTCACTCGGTCGGTATAGTTCGCTTGCGGACTACAGGCTACGGAGTTTTATTATCTGACCCTGCGAGAGATATCCAGTTGGATAATACTTAAGAACGAGAGCTCCATGTTCTACTAGGATGAACGGTGCTACGATACAATGATTGGTGTTTATGTGTGTATACCACTTGAAAATGATTCAAAAGAGGGTCGAAACCTGTATTTGTTAGGGAAAAACACTATTAATAATATATAGTTGTGCTGCTGGTATTGTTAAGAATTGTGTGGATCCAGTTGTACAGATATGGCTATCTTACACACACGTATGGGTCCAGAGATTATAATTGCAGGAAGTTAGTTACTCTGTGACTTACTGTGAACACAAGGAAGTGTCGCTGCTCGTAGTCCAGTAAGGAGTTGTTCCGCACTCGAATGACGAAATTCACTCGCGTCTCGCCCACTGTAGGAGAGACCTCGAAAGTCCCGTTGTTGTTTCTCAGACTTATGGAGAACACGCCGTTCTTTCCCTGTTTGCAACAACACGGTTAATGTGTGAAAGTTGAACGTCAATTTATATTTGCAAGATCTGAGTTTCTGCGGCGGTGACTTTGAAGATATTGGCTTCTGGGATGAGCAGTTTGGTAGAAAGTTACCAACGTTCTGAAGATGGAAGCTGCAGATGACTTCATAACAGCGGTAACATTCCATCAGGCAAAAGGACGTAATATCCGATAAGGCAATGTTATAAAAAATTTAATTTATTTAACGAAACAGAAGGCTGTTTGTGAAAAGCAGTAACATTGTATTTTGCTTCCGTCAGCTTATCTCACCCTTCATTGGAGAAGACATTTTATTTATATTTCTAGAAATATTTCTGAATATTTATTCAGGTCTCACTGAAATATATGACTGGCAGTCGATTTCAAGAATTATGTGAGAAGTACTCCATAAATTTTCATACTGACATAAATTACTGCTTTGACATATCATAGCGAGTCCTCACTGAGGACTTCAGTTGTTTTGGTGCTAAATCAATGCAGGGGTGTACAGGCATACCTCTTAGATATTGCAGTTTCAGTTCAAGACCACACACACGTATTTTTTGGCTTCCCAGTGTATGTAAGATTTATATTTATATTATACTGTAGTCTATTAAGTTTTCAATAGCAGTATGTACGTGTATAAAACAATGTACATACCTCAGTTAAAATACTTCAGTGCTAAATAATACTATCATCTGAGCTTTAAGTGAGTAGTAATCTCTTTGCTGTTGGCTGCTGACAGATCAGGGTGGTGGTTGCTCAATATTGGGGGGGGGGCTGTAGCAATTTCTTAAAAAATAAGACAATGAAATTTTCCGAATCGATTGACTGTTCCTTTCATGAAAGGTTTCTCCGTAGCGTGTGACGCTGTTTGATAGCATTTTACTCATAACAGAACTTTCTCTTTTCCAAATTGGAGTTAATCCTCTCAAAAATTGCCGCTGCTCTGTCAACTAAATTTATGTAATATTCTAAATCCTTTGTTCTCATTTCAACACTGTTCAAAATATTTTCATCAGGTGCCCCTACAGAATTATAGTAGTAATATCAACGGTTACTGATCACTGATCACCATAACAGATATAATAATAATGAAAAAGTTAGAAAATTCCAAGAATTACCAAAATGTGACAGAGACACAAAATGAGCACATGCTGTTGGAAAAATGGCGCCGATGGTCTTGCTCGACGCAGGGTTGACACAAACCTTCAATTTGTAAAAAAAGGAAAAAAAAATATGCATGTATATAATTTTGGGTTCCTAGCTGCAAATTTTGTTTAAAAGCTACCGTACACTTACCAAGTCGTCATCCCTTATTTCTGCGATATACGGGTCGTTAAATATGAGGGCATTTCCTTGGGGACTGTTCTCGTCCATCCAGGCCACATATCTGGAAGAAGAAGAAATGGAGAGCAAAGCGTGAGATTGCAATGGCTTCACAGGAACAGCTAATACATATAGTCCCATTTTGCAGCCAGCTATTGTCGGCTGTTTGAGACACTGTCATTATCTTGACTGCACAACATTTAGTGATATGATGCTTGGCTACTAATGAACTGGAAGGAATTTGGAAGAGCTGTCGCAGTCTCATATAAGTAATCTGGGATTTGCCTGGAGGAAAACCACGAAAATCCTCAGTTGAATTAATGATCATTCCTATTGAGATTCGAACAGAGAACTTCCCGAATACAAATTTACCATGATTAAGGGGCTGATTTCATCTTGTGGGTGAAGTAAAGGCAGTCCTTTTCTCTGAGCTCAACTAAGAACCACGCTGCAGAGGGTGTACGTGGGAGTAAAGGTTTATATCTACGTATAGACCATAGATGGAGGTGAGTGTTCAGCTTCAAGTATCGGCCGCTTTACCCCATGGAAAGATCCCCCGTACATATTCGGGGGTAGGGTGGAAAGTCTCAGGGCCCGTCTGGACCCTGCAGAAGAAAAATGTCTTTGCTCCTGACGGGAATCGAAACAAGATTACCTGATCGTCCACACTGTAACCGGCCATTATTATGAATGAGCTAATCTGGTTTCCTTTTCAGCCCGTGGTACCGAAGTTTTTTTCTTTTTTTAAGTTTTTGGAGTGGGACGAAACCGAGTCCACTTAGCACTGCGCCCACTAATTGGTCTACTGTACCAGCCTCGGATGATAGATGATGAGTGTGGAGCATTCGGTGGGAAGAGAATTGGCAGGGGAAACCTGCCGCAGTGCCGCTTTGTCCACCACAAATCCCACATGGGAAGCCGGCGACTAACCCCCTGAGCTATGACGAGGACCCTTGGTACCGAAGTTAAAGCTAATGTTAAAAAATGGTGTATCTTTTAAGCTATCTGCTTGAATATCTGATTCTGTTAAGATAAAAACATCTGTTTCAGCTGCAAGTTTTCTGTGTCAGAATATATTGCAAGCTCAGGATTTTGAAGAGAATGGTATTAGATTTCAGTTATTTCTCCTGTTAGTGGGTCAGAGGCCCTAGACTTTCGGAAAAGTTGGTCGCTTTTTCTAAAATGCTAGCACACAACAAAACTTAAAAATAACCCTTCAAATAACGATTGTTGTGGAGTGCCTTAAAGAATTTAATATTTCAGAATTGATTCCGAGTAGGGCCGCGCCATAGCTCAAGCGGTTAGTCACTGGCTTCCCACCGAGGCTACCCGGGTTCGATCGCGGGTCTGGTCAAGTGGGATTTGTGGTGGAAAAAGTGGCGCTGGGGCAGGTTTTCTCCGAGTACTTCGGTTTCCCCTGCCAATCTTCATTCCACCAATTGCTCCACAATCACCCTCACCTATCATCTGGGGCTGGTACAATAGGCCAGAAGTGGCCGCAGTACAAGGGACTTAGTCCCACCCCACTAGCAATAAACAAAGATTCCGAGTAAGAATAGGCAATGCTGCATAACCCATACAGTCGCAAAGAGCAACAAGATAATGCTAATGATGATAACAATTTCACGGACGACAAACTGGGAATTATCCCTGATGACGGAGGCGTAGAATATCTCCGAGACGTTGAATTTCGAATTTACTTAGCTTGTCTTCCGAAAAGAGTTTTCACTTTAGGTTGCTGTGAATGATTCAAGTCAGACATGATGATGATTGCGTGGTGATTTGGTGAAGGGCCGTAGAGTCGAGGTGACCACTCACTTCCATCCAGTGCAGAAGTTACAAAGTACAGGTTTAACGTGAAAGCGTACAGCTCGCCGAAACCGGAAGTAGTGACGTACTTGTCGCTGTCGAAGTACGGCGGGGTGTTGTCCGGTTCTGCCATGATGAGGGCGATCTGTACCGTGCTCGACATGGCGAACGGTTCGTCGACTCCTGTCTTCACCTCCTCCGCCATGATGGTCAGCAGAATGGGTTGCATTGGCTGTGTGATCTTCCGCAGTTCCTTCAGTGACTTCGTAAGGCTCAAGTTCCCTGCAGATCAACAGGATACATGTAACTGCCCAAGCACATGAATACTGAACAGCATATCACAACATTTGTACCCCGATTTGCCTGTCCGCGTTTCGTTTCGTATGCGTCTCCTTTTTCAGCCCACTTTAATTATTAAAATAAAAGTAGGCGTTTGAGCTCACCATGCTGTCTGTGTGTCTGTGAATCCCCACATATCAACTTCAGAATGCCTGAACGAATTCTTATGAAACTTGGTATGAATACCATGGCACCTAATCCCATCCTTCCCATCAGTCTGTATTCCCCAATCGTTGCTACGCAACGGCTTAGTAAGATCTTTATCGTGGCAACGAATACAACAATAAAAGAATTGTTGAAATAGTCGTTTTCTATGCGGTTCGTGTATTATCAAAGGAAAGTAGACGATAAGTTCTTCCCAGAAATTCTTTTTTTTACGAGTGGGGTGGTGTTGGCTGAGTCCGGCTCATACGCCGGCCCTGCTGTACCCGTTCCGGATGGTGTATGAGTGTGAAGCATTCAGTGGGATGAGAACTGGCAGGGGAAACAGAAGCACTAGAAGAATACCTGTCCCAGTGTCACTTTGTCCATCACAGATACTACAGGGCTGTAGCGATGGAGAAGTCGGAGGCCATGGCACAGCCTTCACTCTTGGAATAATATCGTAAATGTATATAGTGGCTTCGGAAAATTCATATGATATTATAAAGGAATAAATGATTTGTCCAGGCAGAATTATAAATAAATTTATAGAGACGTAGTACGAATAAAACGTCACGCGTTGGGGTGACTTAAAAGACGGTTTTGGATTGGATGATTGGATTTATTGATCCTTATATATTCACATCTCGGGACTACAGGCAATTATAGCGCTATCGCTAGTCTACACGCTTGCCAGTTCATCGTTACACACGCACTAGGATTCTCAGTCTTCACTAGCCGTATCCTGGCAACGGATTTGTCACAGTCTCACTGTAAATTCACATCCCAAGTGGAGAACTTTTTTCCCAGTCCAGTCGCCTTCGACTGCCATCTCCAGAACTCGACCCAATTTTATTCCTTTTCGACTATTTCGGGGGGCACTCGGTAGCATAGGTGGTTGGGACACTATGCTAGAAGCCGGAAAATCGCGGGTTCGAGTCCCGACTAGATGGATTTTCTTTTTAAACTTACCTAATTTTTCCAGCCGCACTATGGCCCTGGGGTCGACTCAGCCTCTAATAGAAATGAGTACCAGGAATCTTCCTGGGGGAAAAGGCCGGTGGCTAAGGTTGACAAACTCACCGCCATCTGTAAGCCGACCGTCTAGAGAAAATGTGGAAGTCTCAACGTCTCACAACCCTATGGGCCTTCACGATTTGTTACAGGGATAGCTCTGCCTTTTTACCTTTACCTCGACTACATCATTTCACGACTACATGCTTCTCTACTAATTCGCGTCTTCTGACTGCCCTTTTATAATTTCTTGGCCCGGACCCCACGGAAAACACCGTCTTCTAGTGTTAAGGATGGGTGTTTATTGGTCCGTTACCTAAAGATGGATGTTATATTGTCGCGTGCGCTTCTGTTGCGAGAATATTTTTACCGACTCGTTGCCTAGCAATGGGTATACACTCTCAATATTTATTGGTATAGAAATGCACAGGACAAGGATACAGAGAGGATGCTCATGCACAAGAATGGAAGGCGTCAAGAAGAGAGGAAGGAGTGCAAGAAGTCGAAGAGAGAAGATTGTGGAAGGAAATGACAGATTGTAGATTTCTCTTCTACAGACCAGTATAAAATACAAAAGATATAAAAAGAAGATGAAAAATAAGAAGTAGGAAAAGTAACACATATATGTGCGTTGCCTCCTCACACACAAAGGGCCCATTTCATGTCTTTACCTTATATAAATCAATATACATATATGTACTGTAATAATTTAATTTGACGAAAATTATAGAAACTAATGATTTATTGCTTCACTTTCCTTACGAACATATTATTTTTACTTTTAGGCCAAGGCCTAATATACATTGACTGATAAGGAAAGGTAACTGAACCACGTAATTCCCACTTTAACGACATCTTCCGGCTTTCGTTGGAACGAAAAATCAAGAATTTTTCACGCGAACTTCCTTAACGTATCGGCCCATAAGACTGCGGTCACTCAATCTGACCGCACGCAAACCGCAACCTCGTTGCATGCCCAAGCTAATATATTCCTTCCTTCGTCAGTGCAGACCGATAAGAACAGTGACTTATGACCCAAGGTTGAAAACTAGAGTGGCTTATGGAACTAGATATAATATTCCGTTCTTTGAGTCCATGAAGCAGCATACCAGATGCAGTCCATTCAGTTGTTAAGCTTATTAAATGCGGTCTAAATTTTGGAGCACCTTTTTTGTGTGGGCCCACAATTCTGCTTCCCCACTCCTGCAATCAAACTAAGCATTAGTCACCAGTCTGTGGAAGATAGGGATACTTCTATCTCCGTAAAACTGAAACAAGACGGGAGGATGCAACAAAATGTTTCTGAGTGCTTTCTTTAAGTAATAATTCCTTATTCCTTGCAACTTTCTTTAAGAACTTCTAATACGAAATTTAATTAAAATCAATCCAGTGTTTCCCGAATCGAGACATACGAACGAGCGTGTACAAACACAGCCTGATAAATAGGGATGTACAGTCTGTTCAATATCCACGTTGTACAGTAAGGAGGTTCATGCTAATTACCTGTATGACTGGGCGAGGTTCAGAATAAAGATATGGTTGGTAGGAGTAAGAATAAAGTCAGTAGAAAGATAGAAAGAAAAAGAAATAAAATTAAAACGAGAGAAGTGTTAAGAAAAGAAAAATAAATAAAAAGTACAGAAATAAAACTGAATTGAATCTGGGGGTTTCTCTGTCCTTTCAGAACAACACATAAACCCTGTCTTCAAGGAGTCTATGGCAGTCTCTGTCCACACTCTTTCCTCCTCAGAAATCTCGCTAATTATTTCATAATATTTATTGGTCAAGTCCCGATGAGGTAACTAGATCTTTTTTTCCATTGACCTAATCCTTCCAACCGAACTATGGCCCTGGGGTCGACTCGGCCTCTAACAGAAATGAGTACCAGGAATATTCTTGGAACTTTCTTAGGAGTAAAGCGCGGCCGGCACGTAAGGCTGACACCTTACCGCCATCTTTGAACTGATTGTCTAGATAATGTGGGACCCTCAACGTCTCACGACCGTATGGGCCTTCACGGCCTGGTACATGGATAGCTTTACTTTTTTTTACTTATAACCTGTGCAGTAGGAGCAGCGTCCAAAAGCATCCCGAGGAAAAATCAGTTACTGCTGAAGTATATCCATTGTATAATCTCCGAAGTCTGGTATTGAATTTTGTTAAGTAGATCATTGCCTGTGACCAAAAGGAACATACAAATACAGTCCCTTTAGAATGTGAACCGCGACCGATAAATTCGGCAAAAGGTTTTGGGCTTACAACGGCAATTTGCAACTTCAAAATTCGGGAGGTTATGCCTGCCCATGGAAGTGTAACACAGCGCAGTTAACATATATTGCAGCAACTCTCCATCATGAACTGGAGCAGGTCGGCATAGCAATCCTTTGCAATGCATGGTTCACCAATCGTCCTAACTTCTGCAGTCGTACGGATTAAAACACTGACATCGTATTAAAATGATCCATAGCAAATTGTCATGGTGTCCTAAAACTGTCTCAGAGTGGCTTTCCCAGTTTAACTTTCAAAATCGACGTATTTAGGTTCTTAGCAATCAGTAATATGGAGAGAAGGGAAATGCATGTAGGATATTAGTGGGAAAGCCAGAAGGAAAGAGACAAGTAGAAAGATCGAGACGTAGGTGGGTGGATAATGTTAAAATTGATCTTAGAGAGATAGTATGGGGTGATATGAACTGGATTGATCTGGCTCAGGTTAGGGACCAGTGGAAGGTGTTTGAGAACACGGTAATTATCTTTCGGGTTCCATACATTTTTTGGAAATCCTTTAGTAGTTGCGCAACTGGCTGCTTCTCAACAAAGTCTCAGCTCCATGAATTTATTTATGAGTAATATTTTCCAAAAATGTATAGACTCACGAAATGAAAATTACATGTCTGGAGGTTTGATAATTATGATCGATTCACCTTTATTTTCTAAATATCGTAGAAAACTTCGTGCCTCCGCAAAAGGCAGTCGCAACCGCGCGGGGTTCGCGACCCATGTGCTTGGAAACCACTGGTCTAGGGAGTTATGTATCAGCGCTACTGCAATTATTAGTCTTCAAAGACATGCAGTGCCTTGACACGCAAACTGGAGATTTAATCTATTAATGATTTCGGGGCTGAACGTGGAAGAGGTGTAAGTACTAACATACGGTTCAATTTAAGGTCAGTCGCTCTTCTCAGAAATTTCAAATGAGGTCTATGACCACGTATTTCTATTGTCACCCATTCTTCGGTGTAATTGAAGCCATGTTAACCTTATACGTATCACGGCCATCTTATGCGGTTAACCTTTTGGAACGAGAGTTCCTTCTGTGTTCTGGCAACGGCGCAGCATTCAGGTCCTATAATGGATAAGTGAGTTTAAATGTTTATTTAAAGGGTCTCAAGTCAACTTGAGTTATTATGACTGTCAGCACAAGGGAGACTAGAATAGAAACCATAAAATGAAGTACAACAATCTTGACGCGTAATATAAACAGCATTTTCAAGTCGTTTTCACAAATGAGGCTACACCTGTCAAGTTAACAGGATATAAACACTTCATCTGTAGCGGTTAAGCACCGATATCTGACTCAAGTTGTCAAGCATGTAACAGTATAAACATTTCACGTACTGTGGAAGAAACGTCACTATAATTTTCGGTACTATAATATTGCACATGCTGGTCACGGTAGACGGGAGGTCTAAGGCATGCATTGTCTTCGTACCCTCAGAAGTCGGGATCGTGGGTTCGAATCCCACTCAGGGTATGCTTCTCATGCAGCCCTCCCGATTTAAATTCATCAAAATTACGGTCCCTTGCTGTCAAAATTACCAAAATTATACACGTAAACTAAAATTTTTGAAATTAAAAGCTCCACGGCCCCCCTCTCTCAACTCTCTCAAGTCGTTGCTTCAGTTCAGTTATTTAGTGCAGTGCAGTGCAGTGGAGCGAGTTGGTTGGTGAGTGAGAGGACCGCTGCGTTTCAGTCCCTGTGAGCCGTTGATCTTGGAAGCTGCTAGGTGAGGCAAGGGGATAGCTTGGGAACCCAGAGGAAGGGGAAGGTCCGCGTTGGAAGCCGTTACACGACAACGACTGGTGAAGACGGCAGACTGAGAACTCTTAGTAAGTGTAGTGAACTGTAGAGTGTGTGGACTAGTGATACCGTTACAGTTACGTGTACGCGTAGTTACGTTCAGTAAGTGTTCAATAAATCCAGTTATCAATTGAAACTCAGTCTATAGTCAATCCATCACTTGACAATATAAAATCCATCTACTCTACGAAGCAGGGTTCCTCATACCTCGTGTATGCAGCATTACGGAATAAATTCCTGGGGGAATGTTTCTGTATTTCTCACCCTTGTGTGAACATTGGAAGTGTATTTCAAGTAGAATCCAATAACTTTCTGATTATGACGTAACGGTCTACGTCACTAACGATGACACACACTCGTTTCCATAGCAGCTGGAGTATAACACTCAGTGCGATATAATCTAGTAACTTTCTGGTGATGACGTAACGGTCTACGTTACTAACGATGACACACACTCGTTTCCATAGCAGCTGGAGTATAACACTCAGTGCGATATAATCTAGTAACTTTCTGGTGATGACGTAACGGTCTACGTCGCACTAACTGACGATGACGCACACTCGTTCCCATAGTGGATGGAGTATACCCATAACAGTATGGTTCGAAGTGAGAATTGAGCAGTTGGTCCACTCTTGCCCCAAGATGACCATAGCACCTTGCTGGCCTGCTTCTTCACAGATAGTGTATCGATAAGGGTAAGGACATGGCCCGTTCGATACTTACATCCCACGTGTTCATTAAATATTCACACTCAACATGGCGACCTACATACATCACTTCAGAGGCTGTTCATCATGAAGACTGTTTGTTCGAGCCCAGCGTCTCCTAAACACAGCAGCGCAAACAAGTGAACAGAGCGCAAATATGTGAACTTTGGCATGTAATATTCTCTTACTCATCTTCAGCCTACTTTCCTTATTTCGAAATAAGCTTACTTTATATAAGTAGGTTGTAAATGAAAGTAGGCTTATGCGATCTCCATGTTGTCTGTGTGATCCCCCTTATAAACTTCTGAATGCCTGGAATAGATTCCATGGGACACGAAGTAGTGTACTTTGTTGAGGCATCAGGCTACAAGTAGGGTTCGATTCCTGATGAAGTCACTGGACTTTTCAATTGACCTAATCCTTCCAGCCGCACTATGAACCTAGGGTCGACTCAGTCTCTAACAGAAATGAATATCAGGAATCTTTTTGGAGGTAAAGGACGGCCGGAGTGTAAGGCTGACAACCTCACCACCATCTGTGGGCCGATTGTGTAAAAAAACGTGGGAACCTGGACGTCTCACAAACCTGTGGGCCTCCACGGCCTGTTATAAGGATCGCTTTTTCTTTTTGGACCAGTTTTCATGAAACTTTTGAATTTTTTATTATTCTTAGTGAGATGATACTGAGTCCACTTTGTACTGAGGCCACTACCAGCCCCAGATGATAGGTGATGGTGATTGTGGAGCAATTGGTTGAACAGAGATTGGCAGAGTAAACAGAATTACTCGGAGAAAACCTGCCCCAGAGCCACTTTGTCCACCATAAATACCATATGAACAGACCCGGGCTCGAAGCCGGGCCGCCACGGCGAGAAGCCATCGACTAACCGCCTGAGCTGTGACGCTGTCCTTCCTGAATCTTGGCTTGTGTGCAATGGCACCTGAGCCCATCTCAGCGGCATACTTCACAAATCCCTCCCATCCGTCTGCGTGTCTGTATGTGTATCCCCTACCGTTGCTAGGTAATGGATCATTAAAATCGTCACCGTGGCATCGAATACACAAGCAAAACTCGATGAAATGTTGGTTTCTATGCTGTCCGCAAATTATCCCGAATAGTGGGCTATTAGTTCCCCACAGAACTGCTTGCCATATGTGTAATTTATTTAATGACACCGTCATTAACTCCAGACTGTAGAGAGACGAATGAGTTTCATGATAGTGATTAATATCTTGCAAAAAAAATGTGTAAAATAACATAAAAAAATTGTATTAAAAGATATTTCCATTGAGTGAAAATACAAATAACCTTACTGGACCAAAAGTAGAACATAACAAATAAAAAGGAAAGGTAACACTATCCCTGACACAATAGGTCACTGTGGTCGCGGTGCAAGGGCCAAGAAGGCCCACCCCTTATACATTCATCCCTGACACAAGGCATGGAGACCCAGAGGATTGCGAGACGTCGAGGCTCCCACATTTCTAGACAATCGGCACATAGATGGAGGTAATGTCACCTTCCGCACTCTATCTCTATGAATATTCCTGGTACTCATTTCTGTTAGAGGCTGAGTCGAACCCAGGGCCATAGTGCGGCTGGAAGGATTAGGTCAATTGAAAAAATCCAGTGACCTTCTCGGGAATTGGTTTGTAGCATGCAGTACTTTACCGCGTGCTCCACTCTTACATGAATAAAGGATGAAAAGATAATAGAAGAGAATAGGCAAGAAAAGGAAGTATGAAAGAACTAGATATAAGCATGTATGAGCAGGTAGAGGAAAGACATGAAAACATGTTTGAGAAAATTAAAATTCAATTGCGTAGTTAACGAGATTACTACACATTAATGCAGAACTCAAAATTGCCGTGAAGACAGAATGAGTGTGGAAGGCGAATATGAGCAAGATACAGGTCTGTGTTACACATGAGAGAGTGCAACGAGAGCCGAGTTTGTCCTGCGAGTGAACAGGAGAGTTCAAGTGGGAGATCCTCTCGTATTCCTTCTGTTTTCGGTTTATTTGCTAACGCTGTCTGTTCTGAGTTACAGCACTGAATAGTTGGATGATTTAATGGGCAATTAATTAATTGGAACTGAACTGGAAGGAATTGGTCTTGGCCTAATTTGATTGTCTGGAGGGACAGAAGAAAACCTCAAAGAACCTCGGTGAGGGCAGACACTGTCAACAGAGTTTAGAAAGAAACAACTACAAAATACAAGTACAAATCAGAAGCGTTACTGTTAAGCTTACTTCCTCGATGATCTAGGCAGAGATAAGAGAATAATATTAAAAGGAATATTAAGGAATATGTTGTGAGATTATAGACTCGAATTGTCTAACTTAGACAATGCTCAACGGTAGCCTCGTCTTTATAGAAAAGATTAGTTTATGTAAAAGTGTTCAAGCGCTGTAAATATAGATTCTAGACGGTTCTGACGATGGTGTATAATACCCAGAATTACTGCGTTTCCGGACTTTCTCCATCGTCCGGCATTCTAGAGACTAGAAAATGAAACGTTTCGGAAATTGGATCTGTATTCAGGTGTCTTTAACCTCTTCATAAGGGGCCCCAACAGAGTACGTGTCTCCCGCCCTCACCTGAGAGCAGAAAGATGTCCAGTTTATGAAACATAGTGTTTATTAGTTTCTAGAATACCGGGCGATCAACAAAGTCCCAAAACTCAGTAATTCTGAGTCCTGAAAATATGTATAAGAGAAATTTGTTTTAGACAATTATTTTGCTCTGTATAATATATTATTCTTACACAATGTAAATACTTGTACCAATTATGTATGGCATTTTATATCTGTAGTGGTATTACGTCTAAGAGAAGGAGATGTACACAGATTCATATACAGGAGAAGCCGGGAGGGGAACTGTAATGTAACTGAAGGGGGTTATGAGAAACGCTGAACAGGAGTATTTACTCCACAGCAGAGACTGTGGGGCAACATTAGGCAGCGAATGAAAAACAACTTGAAGGTACGTGATCCTGGAGAAGAGGTGTAGGGTTATTTATGTAGTAATATTCTTTCACTGGCTCTTCCAGCCCATTTAGGGCCCAGGCCTCTTATTCAGTTCCGTAATCATTTTTCACAGACAGTAGGACCCGTTGGACGAGTGGCCAGCCCGTCGCAAGGCCGCTAGCTATACAGGACAACACAAAACAGAATAAACGAATGCACACACCAAACATCCATGCTCTGAGTGGGATTCAAACCCACGACACCAGCTGTCGAGCGAGCGAAGACGGTTCATGCCTTCGACCATGCGGCTACCGTGACCGGCCATTCATGTAGTAATAGGTAACATAAATGTAGCAAGATAAAACAATGGAGCGCGCTAGAAACGACTTCTTCCTTTTGTAAAAACTGAAGTTAGTTACAGAATTCTCAACGTCCCTTTGTGAGAATGGGCACTAAAGTTTTTCCCTATGTTTGGTGAATTAATCAAGGATATTAAGGGATTACAAAATCATGAAAAGTGTTCAATATTTACAGATTCATATGTCAGGAGGCGCAAAGCAACCCTTAGGCAACAGGTTTCTGCGTAACTTCATCACAAATATCTTACAGATGCAGAGGACTGTATTTATATTGTCTTCGGTAGGTATTTATAGGCTTGTCCAGTGAAGAGATAACGCTGATGTTGGTCTACCTGTCTTTTGATCGATGTTGAAGAAAGGTGTGAGTGGGTTGCCTTCTGAGACAATGCCATAGCGCACTTCGCGAGGAGATCCTTTGTCGCTGTCCTCTGCATGCACCGTCAGAAACACGTCACCCTGTGACAAGCAGATCACACTGAGACACAATATAATATGTGGGCAAGAAGTCAGCGCCAATGTTAATTACCCCTTTCAAACGAGGCAGTTCCCAACGAGAATATTTAGTGTCCATGCTTTAGACCTGGCCGTGCTCAGCAGAATTCACATTGGATCTGGCGCAGTCCACTAGCTGAGATGTGGACTGTGGGGTATATATGGTTCGTAGTACAGACTCAGTGCATCACACTTCCCTCCGTAAGAGTGCAGCTGCAAACACTGCACCGCTACTTGCCAAAATTCTAAAGCAATACTCAGAGACCGGTCTAAAATCATGTTCTCTATTTATGCATTCCTGTAAAATAATGCAATACAACAAACGTATATCAAACTTTGTAGCCTAAACAAATAAAACAGCCAAAATAAAAACTAAGATGGGACTGTCCCTGCGCTTAATTAAGCCCGACACCATGAGGATGTATGGGTGAGTAGGGATTAGTTTCACACATGCTTAACTATAGCAGTAGATGACGCATACAAAACTACATTTTGCCTGTGGTTCTGTATGGGCGTAAAACTCGGTCTCTGACATTAAGGGAGGAACATAAACTGGGGGTGTTTGAGAACAGGGTGTTGAGGAGATCATTTGGACAGATTAGAATGATCAAGTCAAGGAGTATGAGATAGGCAAGGCATGTAACACGAATTGTAGCGAAGAGGAATTCATGTAGGATATTAGAGGGAAAACCAGAAGGAAAGAGACCACTAGGAAGGCTAAGACGTAGGTGGGTGGATAATATTAAAGTAGCTCTTAGAGAGATAGGATGGTGTAGTATGGATTGGATTGATCTGGCCGAGGACAGGAACAAACAAAAGGCTCTTGTGAACATGGTAATGAAATTTCGAGTTCCATAAAAAGTTCGGAAATTCTTGTGTAGCTAAACAACTGGCGGCTTCTCAAGAAGGACTTAAGTCCAAGAAGCGAGCTGCTTAGGACTAGATGAAGGCAAGTAGTTAGCTTCACGCTCCGGTCATTTTACCCCTTTATTGTGTAAATGGCTGGGTGGGCTTCAGGTTCCACTTGGACGCCTTGAAGATGAGAAAACTCTGTTACGAATACTTTGCGTGAAATAGAATATGGATTTTCGGCCGTCCTGCCGGCAGCCCAGTAACTGTACCGACTGAGCTATCCTGGTTCTAAATAAAACCAAATAGCAGATTAATTAAATAAGTAAGAGAACACATATACACGTTTATCAATAAGTAAATAGATACAAGATTGAATATGTAGGCTAAATAAACAAGTGAGAAATTAAGCACGGTAGAAATACATGAAGCAAATCACTATCAAATTACAAACCTAACTAATCAACTAACTGACTAACTACAAAGAGAAAGCATTCTTCAGACGCCAGCAGAACCTCAGCTGGTCGTAAAATTTCAAGGAACAAGGGGTTCTTTGCATTTCATAACCATCATCATTAAATAACAAATGTGGGCACATGAAGTAGTTTTATTACACATGTACCTGAATAAATACATAAACAAATAAAGAAATGGTAAAAAGAAGTAAGTAAAGCAAAGCTATCCCTGTACCAGGCCGCGAAGGCCCATAGGGCTGTGAGACGTCGAGGGTCCCACATTATCTAGACAATCGGCTCAATGATGGCGGTAAGGTTATCAGCCTTACGCGCCGGTCGCCCTTTATTCCCAAGGAAAATTATTTAATTAATTCCTGGTACTCATTTCTGTTAGAGGCTGAGTCAACCCCAGGACTATAGTGCGGCTGGAATCCAGTGACCTCATCGGGACTTGAATCCGCGAATAAAGAAATAAGAGTAATAAAATAAATGAGGGTCACGCGGTAGCCTAGTGGGTTGGGGCACTATGTTACAAGCAGGAAGGTCGCAGGTTCGAGTCCCGATTAGGTGTTTATTTAATTGACCTAATCTTTCCAGCCGCACTATGGCCCTGGGGTAGACTCAGCCTCCAACAGAAATGAGTATTAGGAATTAATTAAATAATTTTCCTGGGGAGTAAAAAGCGGCAGGCGCGTAAGGCTGACAAACTTACCGCCATCTGTGGGCGGATTGTGTAGAGAAAATGTGGGAGTCTCGACGTCTCACAACTCTGTGGGCCTTCACGGCCTATTACAGGGATAGCTTTACCTTTTAGTAAAATAAATGAACAAAGACAAAAAGGGCAGAAGGAAAGTAGGATATGAAGTTACTGCTGGAACACAGAAAGACGTGATTGCCTCCGCACCGTGAGAACGGAAACTCACCTTCTGAATTGTGTTATTGAGGACTGTGACGGGGGGTACAGACGTGAACATGGGGGGCATGTCCTGAACATCCTGCACCGCAATGGCGAGCATGAAGCCCACCAAATTGCGGGTATCGAGGTCTGGTTCTGCGTAGGCATCCTGTAAAGAAACAGAAGTCATAACTTGAGCAGGAAAATGTCCGGTTTCTACAGCGCTAAATTTTCTTGGAGGAGTATCAATACATATTCAATCGCACCAACCTCATCCTCACATGATGTAACCATTTTGAAAAACGAAGCTCTGACAACTGAGTCACGATAATATTGTCACATGCCCCTGGATCCGTGACTAACAGTAACGGGTTTTGGACTGGATGATTGGCTTTATTGCCACGTTGATACAATTACAGCCAAGTATAACAGCTCCCAATCACTGGCTGTCTTAACACTCGCTCCATTCCTTGCTGGACTACGAGTATCTTCTCTTCTGCGTGACTGACTTGGTTCTGATTTAGGAGTCGGTCACTTCTTCAGCTCCCATTACCCGCTTGATAATACTCCACAGCTGAAGGCTGAACTACTCAACTGCCTTCTGAATTCTCTTACGCCTGAATGACTGACTGACGAATGAACTCTTGAATCAATTGCGTGCCCTCCTTTTATAACTTCGAGGAGATCACCACCTCCAACAGTTCGCCTATTATTGCGTACCTATTCGTCATCACGGAAAAGTGCCTAGCGACTTGCTATCCAAGTTTATTAGTTGCCGTGCAAACGTGTTTAGCGAGCTGTTGTCTAGCGATGGACATCTCTGCGGTGCTTCTCTGACTGCGCACGTCCGGCGTTTAGGCGTCATGTAACAATATGAACATTATATTTACTCTCTGACGGAATACCGAAGGGAGACAGTAACTTCCCTCTCTTTAGCAACCAACTGTGTGGGCTGCCTTGACTGCAGAACGAAGGCTTTTCCCCCTTCTTCATCACCATCCACCTTCTGAATTCAGTCAGCGAATAGGTGGAAGAAGAACACGGATTAATTTCTGTATGTCCATTTTATGTACATACCACAGCGAACACTGACAGCATGTACATGGTCTGTTGCTCAAAGTCCAGTTCACTGGTCAGGATGATGGTTCCATTCACAGTATCAGCAGAAGCTAGGCTCTGACGTATGGCAAAGTTGGATGATCCCTGCAAGAGACAGTACAGTATCAGCAGAAGCTAGGGTCTGACGTATGGCAAAGTTGGATGATCCCTGCAAGAGACAGCACAGTATAAGCAGAAGCTAGGCTCTGACGTATGGCAAAGTTGGATGATCCCTGCAAGAGACAGTACAGTATCAGTAGAAGCTAGGCTCTGACGTATAGCATAGCTGGGAGATCCCTGCAAGAGACAGTACAGTATCAACAGAAGCTAGGCTCTGACGTATAGCACAGCTGGGAGATCCCTGCAAGAGACAGCATATTATCAGCAGATGCTAGGCTCTGTCATATAGCACAGCTGGAGGATGCCTATAAGAAACGGTACAAAGTTCAAGGACATGTTTACTGGTTGAACATTGAGCCATTTCAAACAATAGCTTGTTATGATGAACACAAAATTTATATCTCAATCGCGGCGACTCGGCGCCTCCTTCAATATTCTTCTGGCTACACACCGGACACTATTCAGGCGCCCAGACCCACATGATTTAGGGCCCCAGAAGGCGTAACGTCGATAACTTAAACTTTCCCTATCTATTTCTGAATATCTCAAGATGTATTTGCGAACTTCTAGTACATGTTACAGTAAAGTTAAATCAAGATGGAGGTCAAGGAGGATGAGATGGAAAAGGTATGTAGCACGAATGAGGGAGGAGAAGAATGCCTACAGGCTTTTGAAGCGAAAACCAAGGAGAAGGAAACCACTAAGAAAACTGAGACACAGGTGGGAGGTCATTATTAAAAATGACTCATAGAGAAATAGAATTGGGGCTGGTATGCAGCATATTCACCTTATTCAGGGTAGGGGTCAAAAGCGGGCTCTTGCGAACACGGAAGTTGTATGGAAACTTCGGGTGCCATGAAGTACTAAGTACTAAGTATTTCCAGAGTAGCTGAGAAACTGGTGGCTTCTGCACTAAGGGCTACTGACAAACTAATGAGACAGTGAGATCACGAGACTCTGACGCATTCAAATGTTTTCATACCCCCAACCCGAGTACCAAAAAATGATTTTGATATGCCGTCCTTCTGCCCATTTGTTTCATATATGCCTGTCTAATGTACACAAATGTATGTATGTACATACGTCTGCATGTCTGTCTGTCTGCATGTATATATGTACATATGCGCACGCCCTTGCTAGCGCCTGGACACTAGGATGAACGTGATTCCCATTGCAGGGGCTCAAATTCGATCCCAGTTCAAGTAATGTGGGATTTATGGTGAACAAAGTGGCACTGGGACAGCATTTCTCCGAGTACTTCCGTTTCCTCAAGTAACTCTCATTACATCAATTGTTCTACACTCATCATCATAATCATCACTTCTATCTTCACTATTCGGGGATGGTGAAATGGACCGACTAGTGATCCGCGGGTCAAGTGGGCTGATTCCCATCCCTGACCGCTAACACAACTTGTGAAGCTTCCAGCAGCTAGACTGTTCAATGTCGAAACGTAGGATGAATCGGGAGGAATTTGAAACGAAATGGTAATGCGCTAATACAGGGGCTTTCCCGGAATTTTCCTGTAGGGACTGAGCAAAAGCGTCATTGTTCTGCCCAAGATGCGAAGCGACCACTTCCTGAACACGAATTTAGAGCCATAAAGCTACTGAAGTTATGTCCCTGTCTTTGATTAATTAACCACTACGCCACGAAGACAGGAGGGGGAGTGGAGATATAGCTCCACCATTCTTGACCTCGACATTAGACGGAGGGGAGTGGTCAGCTTCACTCCTCTGCCACCTAACCCAGTGTAAACCGCCCCCGACATCCATGCTATGACACTATCATGTCGGAAAATATTACATTGCTTCATCAGATGGTCATCATTTGAGTCACCCCCAGTGCTGACACCTATACGAGCCACCATGTATTCAGTCATTTTGTCGTAGTATCCTGTGGGATAGATACTGTGCTGGAAACGTAAGACAGAGTGCTAACATAGATGGCTCTCCTTACCCTAAGCTCCAACCCGGCATGTCTTGTGTTCTTTGGGTTCTTGCGGGTGATTACGTAGTCCAGCTCTGTGCCGATCTTCGTGTCCTGAAACACAAATATATGAACATTTGGACGTGCCGAGATTGGTGTCTTAATTAGGCTATAACTGCTCTGACTTAAACGTTGGGATTACTCCCTCACAGAACTCAGCTAAAGAATTTTCTATGTCTGCTTCAGATCTATGCATTTAATTCTCATTCTACTACCACAGTCAATAAGTTCGTGGACTGGCCGCATATCTTCATTGCAGTGTATTATGGCGGATATACTGAGGCACGATATTATGCCCTGTCAGTTCATCTTTCATCACAGCAAGAGACAGTTGTGTGCAAACAGTGTAAACAGAAATACGGCCTCTATTGTGAACTGCAGTTAAATGCAAGTGGCGGAAATCGAAAATGTGGCAGTTTGAACAACGAGCAAACATCAAGTTCTGCCAGAAACTAGGCAAATCCCCTAGCGAAACGTTTGGCGTAGGAAGAACTAGCTGTTGCTACACGACAACGTCCCTGCACATCGCTCTGTTCCTGTCCAAGAGAAACTGGCAAGGCAACAGGTCACCGTTTTGCCAAAACCTCGGTACTCGCCTGATCTCGCACCGTGCGATTTCTTTCTCTTTCACCGCGTGAAAGCAAGGCTACGTGGTCGTAGATTTCAGTTGTCCGAGGAGGTCGTCATTGTCACAAGAGACGCCGTACGTGAATTTCCTGCCAATATGTTTCAGCAGTGTTTTCGACAGCTATATCAGCGTTGGCAGACTTGCATAGCGGCCAACGGTAACTATTTTAAGGGCCGAAGTTGACCTGTGTAAGTGTATGTGAATACTTTGTAATATGATGAGATAAAACCAAAGTACACAAACTTAATGACTGTACCACGTATATCTGTTAGGACTGTATCTAATAAAAAAGCGTAACAAGGTACTTACAAGGGAAAAATTCTGGAGTTTTATATAGCTTGAGAACTGTAGACTTGAAGATCAGCTCTCTTAATTAAAAATTATCTGAAAATTCTGTGCGAAAGGGAGTAATATTCAGCGCAAATAATTAAGTAGTTAAAAGGAAAAGTTCCACTAGTTTTGATCTATGTACATTTCTGTCAAAACTTACATGATATAAACGCTAGTTGGAAGTTGTGGGACGAGGCACATTAAACTGCGAATCACCAGCTGAGGAAAATTTGATCGTGGTGTCGTGTGGGGACACGAAGCTTTCTCAAGCAGCGGTTGCTGGACAGATTCGTCATATTTCACGATTTGCCAGCTCGGATCAGAATTGTTGCGTGAGGAATCGAGGCCTAACAGAATTCCAAAGAAGATACCTGCTTACATCTGTGAACTGGCATTGAGCATCAGGAGTGATTCAGCCTTCTTATTTCCGGTTGCTCACTTACTGTTGGACCATGACAAAAAGACATTACATTTCTCCGAAACATCGGCAAACTTCCAAAAGACGTCACGTTCTGGAAGACCGTATTCTTCATTGTTACCCCCATGAGAGCCTTCAACCTACCACCTTCCTCATATTTCACTTACTCCAAAATTTCTCTATACATTGTGAACCACTCAACATTTTACTTGAATAACTCCTTTGCTATTCATTGCATCAGGACAAGCTTCAGGTAAAACTCGCACACACGATGTGTGAGACAGATGAGCTGTATCTTTCGATTCTTATGAGATCTCAAGGTCAGATTCATTTAATTAAATATAAATTGATTTTTTACTATCACAAAAGTTGCAGAGCAGATCACTATGACTCCAAAGCCCATAAATTGAGCATCACACCACTGAACCCTTCGTGTGGTGTCCGTCACCCCCTAGGGCACAAATGTGAGCTCTGCCTGGTGACCAAACTTTCCCACTCTGGGGATGAAGCAGACGGAGCCGTTCACTGGCGATATCACGCGAACACTACGTAGAAATGAAACATATTTTATGGTTTTGGATTCGAATTGATCTGCTCTACAACTTCTGAGGGAGTAAAAATAAAATCGTCCCGGTGCTTAAATAATTAAGCGGTATGCCATGAAGACATATGGGGGAGTGGAGGTATAGCTCCACCATTCTTCACCTCGGCACTAGATGGATGCAAATGGTCAGCTTCACGCCCCGGTAGGCTTATCCCTGGGGAAATCTCCCACATTACGGATTGGATAGGAGGCTGGGTGGACCCCAGATCCGGCCTGGATCCTTCGAAGAAGAGAGAAATATTTCCATGCCCGGAATCGCACCTGGGTTTTCCGGTCCTTAAACCTTCGCTACGCCGACTGAACTGTTCTTATTTTTGTGGGAGTAAAAGAAATGAAACTGCATTTTCGGAAGTGGAGCTGACCTTGATATCTTGTAAAATACCAAAAACACAATCTGTTTGACATACCATTGTGTGCTCCTTCAAACCACGTACATTTTGCCTGGAGCATTACCTGGTGGAATGGACAATGAAGGAGTTATCCGAGGTGATAATGTTGAGTGAATCACTCTATACTTAAGGGGACGAGGGGTGCGTCCCGTGCCACTACAGGAAACAGCAATACAAGTTCAATAGTGCCATGTGTGTCCCAGTAACGGTACCTCCGGAACGACGACAAGCGACGGCAGATGTGGGAAGATGGTGTCCATCGGGGTGGAGCTGTTGGTTGCCCTGATGGTGCACCGGACACTCGTCGTGTCACCCCTTGTGTCCCTCAGCCTCAGTTTCAAGTCATACACTCGCCCCAGTTCCAACGGGCGGGCCAACAAGACGTTCGCTTCGCAGAACGAGTGGTTCCTGGAGCAGGGGAGGTTCTCGATATGGACCAGCGGCTCTGTCCTGGCTCCTGAACACAATCCAGCACTTGAAGTCACCCCTCCCATCCCACAGATAGGAACTAACATTACGAAGCCTATGTGAGACCAATTTAATATTCCTGAAGCCAGAACAGACATTATATAGTGCAACCTCGTATTTCACTAGGAAACGAAATAAATTCGCTATATCAGACGACGGCGTCAACTTATTTGTAGTGTGACACACCCAAACACGCTACATTATATTGTCACGTGGTAAGTGTGATTAGAGACGAGGTTTGTATTGATAACTGGATTTATATGACACACTCGTAGCTACAAATAACTACGACAGTCTCACTGATTTACACACGCCAAATCATTGTAACTACAGCACACAGAAAGTCTTCTCAGTCTTCACTAGCCGTTGCTTGGTAGCGGCTTCCAACGGCAGACATTCCCCTTCCTCTGGGTTTCCGAACTGTTCCCGGCCTCAGCCGCCATATTTTCATTTCTCATAACTGCAACTCTCAACCGACTCCACAACGGTTCGGTCTATGAACTACTAGTCCTAATGATATAGCTCCGGCAAGGACGGAACAGAAAACGTCTCTTCCATCATTGAGGGTTGGGGAAACGTGTCCACAGTGCTGTTCCCTAGCAACGGTTGTTGTACATTCGCCTGTTTACACAGCTGTTACTTGGCAATGGCTCTACGTATCACAATACTCTGTAGCTTTAAGAGTGCCTATGTATAATTTTAATATACACGTAAGTAATCTTTTTTTTTTCTACGAGCCTCTGATGATGGCGTTCTAGGACACAAACATGTACAGCAATTATATTAACTCCTGTTTTTAGTAAAGAGTGTTGCGCTTCGAGGTTGCTTTATTCCTTAACAATTAACTTAAATTGTAACGATCAACAGGTCTCATTTTAAGAGAGGAAACTAGAAGCTTAAATTTATTTATAATGCAATCACCTTAAATTCGCAAGAATTTATTGAAGTATACGAAATCAGCGACGACTTCGAAATTCACAGCTTGGTTGAAAGTAATCAGTAAAAAAAGTTAAAGCTATCCATTTTAGAGTCCGTGAAGGCCCATAGGGCTGTGAGACGTTGAGGGTCCCACATTTTCTAGCCCAGGCATATCCATCTTCAAAGAGGTTGTAATCGACTTTTTAGTGTCAAAACTGCCAGTGATCTACCACCCCCTCCTATCGCCGTACCTCGCTTTAAGCAAAAGTATTGGTAAAAATAGCACGACACATGATGTCTGTTGTAAAAGCAACATACATTGAAAGTACAGACTACTTCAATACGTATTTTCCCTTCAAAATCTGAATACAATCGTATTATATTGTAAGTGAAGTTACATGCTTTTCACGTATAATTTCCTTATAGGCCTATGAGATCGACCAAAAATCATCCCGCGATCGACGCTTTTGACATGCCTGATATAGACAATCGGCTCACAGATGGCGGGAAGGTTGTCAGCCTTACGAGCCGGCCGCGCTTTACTCCCCAGGAAAATTATTTAATTAATTCCTGGTACTCATTTCTGTTAGAGACTGAGTCAACCCCAGGGCCATAGTGCGGATAGAAGGATTAGGTCAATTGAAAAAATCCATTGACCTCATCGGGACTTGAACCCGCCACCTTCCGGCTTGTAGCATAGCCCCTCAACCAACTACGCTATAATCACAACGAAATGCGAATTGATTAAATTCCCAAGTAGCGAATTTCAATAAAATGTGTGAAAGAGTTTAAGGGAGAAATGGAAAATTTCATTAATGGCCTCATGCCTCAACAATTTATGTGAAACTGCTTGTTGCACAAACGGAACGTTCATTATGGCCTCAGAAAGTCAGGTTATAGCAAAGTTTTAGTGACAGCCTCCCATACTGACCTTACGGAAACCTATTCGGCTGTTTACGTGCTGATACTGGGTCACAGACAGAGCGACAGTCATGAACTTCATGTAAGACGTTTTTCTAATTTTCAAATGACACCTAAAACTAGGAGAAACTGGTAGCGTTTGTTGCAAGCACGACGTGTTGTAACAACTGAATTCGTTTCTGAATGTTTCTGACGATGGAGTATGATACTCAGAAATGTTGCATTTTTATTTTGTCCGCATTCCGGTTTTCTGAAGCACAAAACGTTTCGGACACTGGACCTGTTTCCGTCCTCAGGAAGTACCGTCAGCAATGAGCTCAACACAGTACGTGTCTCCCATTCCCTCAGCTGAGAACGGAAACCAGTTCAGTTTCCGAAATGCTGTGTTCCCTTGCGCTCTTTAGAACACCAGACGATGGACGAAACCCAGTAAATTTGCCTTTGGCCTGTTGAGTAAGCACGTAAATATATAAAGAATTTAATTTAATTACGCATAAATTTGTTTCAGAAATGGAATTACTCTGATTAATTTAGGTTAGGTGGAATTTTAGAGAGGTTAACTATAAAGGAGGAGCGAGCAAGACCACCAACAGATGTTTCCGCCAAAATTCTGGACACGGAATTAACAGTGTATCTTAAGGAAGACGGGGGGACACGCGATAGCGTAGTAGGTTGAGGCACTATGTTACAAGCCGGAAGGTTGCGGGTTCGAGTCCCGATGAGGTGGCCTTTTTTCAATTGACCTAATCCTTCCAGCCGCACTATGATCCTGGGGTCTACTCAGCCTCTAACAGAAATAAAGTACCAGGAATCTTCCTGGGGGGTAAAGGGTGGCCGGCGCATAAGGCTGACCTCACCATCATCTGTGTGCCGATTGTCTAGAAAATGTGAGAGCCTCGACGTCTCACAACCCTATGGGCTTCCATGACCTGTTACAGGGATAGCTCTACCTTTACCTATTAAGGAACGGGACCCGTAAATAAGCGATGTTCCTAAGAATTCAAACAGCGTGTGTAAGAGGACATCCAAATGTAAAACGCCTAAGTTATGGTATACTTATTCACAAGGTCACATCCTTACCAACGATATCGAATTGTAGAGGAAAATCGAAGTCGGAATCTGTTCCTCTGAGGCGGTAGATGGCAGAGCCGACCTTCGCGTCCAAGGGCACTAGCAGCATCCTCATGGAAGTGGACACGTCGAGGACTGGGTAGTTTCCGGCTGTCACCGTGGCCAGGAGCAGGAGCAGCAGCACCAGAGACATCATCCCGGGACCTGTGACAGACACAACAGTTACGTGTCGCTTGCAGATGCACTGCGCTTCTGTTTGCTACTCCAGCGTGAAATCCGGTAGAGAGATATCTGCAAGCTTCGTACGAAACATTTGTTTGCGCTAAAAGTTATATAAATTGGGATGAAAGAAATGTTCAGGTCCACGGCGCAGGGTCTATCTTGCAATGTCGCTCGGCTGAGTAACTGTAAATATCCGGCCCGGTATTATCTTACTCAAACCGCCTCTGTGGTCAAGTGGTCAGAGTTCCTCGCTACAGATCCAGAGGTCCGGGTTCGATTCCCAGTGCTTCCAAGTTTTCTGAGAAGTAGTGGCTCTGGAACGGAGTCCACTCAGCCTCGTGAGGATAATTGAGGAGCTATTTCAAGACCGAGCTTAACGGCTGTGGGGAACCGTTGCGCTGACCATGCGACAGCCTCTGTCCACTGAAGTTGGCACTAACTTCGTCGACAAGCGGCGGTCGCTCGGTCGGTATAGTTCGCTTGCGGGCTAGAACCACGGAGATTTTTTTTTTGTTTTATTATCTTATCCACAGTAGATAAGCTGATGGCCGCGCCATAGCTCAAGCGGTTAGTCGCTGGCTTCCCACCGCGGCGGAGGCCAGGGATCGATCCCGGGTCTTGTCAAGTGGGATTTTTGGTGGACAAAGTGGCACTGAAGCAGGTTTTCTCCTAGTATTTCGGTTTCCCCTGACAATCTTCATCCCACCAATTGCTCCACAATCTCCCTCACCTATCATTTGGGGCTGGTACAATAGGCCTGAAGTGGCCGCAGTAAAAGGGACTTAGTCCCACCCCACAAGCAATAAAAAAAGTTGAATTGATAAATTCAATATTTTGCTTACCCTCTAAATATATTGTGGGACGAGCATATGTCCTTTGCATAAATAAATATGGTCGATTTTAAAATTTTACCTCAGATTGCAGCTTACAAGGGCACTTGTTCGTCAGCTACATTACTGAGACCGACGCAATGCGACTTACGACGGCCAGCAATTCCCGACTTGTAGTCCATGCATATATTCTCTTCACAAGGCCTGTCCAGAGAAATGATAAAACTGACCATTCCTAGAACGAATCGTTCATACACGTCGGACGCTGAGCAAAAAAGGAACGAGAGAACCGCTTTCTGTTGGGGCCAATCATTTGCACTCTGCCACACGGAACAAGGGCGTAGTGCGGCAGTTCTGATGTAATGATAAATGAGTCCAACAAAATGACGACAGTCACATTGCTTAAAAAACAATTGCATGACAGCAGATAGCGCAATGGAAGTAGGTAACTCGGGCAACATGCTGGCCTTGAACTGTCAGCTTTCCATTACACTGTAGATGAATAGAGCATTTGGTGGATTTCACTAATAGGCTCAAGCTGACTCAACTATAATTGTCTAAGGAACACAATCATAGCCAGACATAATAATAATAATAATAATCTGCAAAGGTTAAGCTTGTAGCCTGTTCCGTCCTCAAATATCAAGTCATCTTTATGTTGTATTTAAGCATCCTGCTTCACCATTTTGATACACAGTATTACTTCCAATACGAGGCGCCCTCGAATTTAAGACTCACCTAATTTTTTTCAACGGAGGAAAAAATGTGTAAAATGTGCGCCTTAATTCTAAGTAATACGGTATATACAGGTAGACCCGTTGTTAAGTAATGACTATGTAAACGACGCCCGTTGCTAGGCAACACCTTCCTAACACGCATCAATGGACCAACGTGGAAGCGGTGTTCTGTACGCGGTCCGCGCGACAGCTACGTGACGCAACAATAGAATTGTTGGAAGCGATGTTTTTATATGTGGTCCACTCCGAGGCTATATCACTCGACCGACAGAGGCGAGTTAGTGCAGTGCAGTGCAATGCAGAGGAGAGGAGCGAGTTGGTTGGTGAGTGAGTTAGAGGACCGCTGCGGCTCAGTCCTTTTGAGCTGTTCAATAAATCCAATTAGCAATGGAAACACCAACTGTAGCCACATACGCGTGACTCTATATGAACAATAAACTGTTGAAGGCAGCTTCGGGAGCCATTCATTGAATTACCACTTTGTTTCTGCTTTCGTGTAATTTCAACGACATGTTCGGCCAGGCAGGGCTACCGTCAGGTATACATGGTGAGTCACTCACACACTCATCCACAGACACAGCTCATCAAGCCACCATCCACGAAAAATATCTCCACGGTAATCATTAAGCAGAACATAAAGAAGTGCCTTGATGCAGATATATTTCTAGCCCCCTTCCCTTATTTTGGAAATAAAAAATAAAAGGAGGCTTATGAGATCACCATGCTATCTGTGTGTCCATGAATCCCCCGACTCCCATTAGCTTTTGAATATCTGAACCAATCTTTATTAAACTCTGTATGTACACGTATATCATGGCACCTGAGCCCATCTCAACTGAGTACTTCGTAAATCCCTCCTATCAGTCCGTGTGTCTGTGTGTGAATCCCCCTATCGTTGCTAGGCTGTGAGAAGTGTAGCAGTTCATCCATAAGGACCACGTTACAATGTCAAATGTGGCCTTGTCATAGCTCAGGCGGTTAGTTGCCAGCTTCCTACCGCAACTGCCCGGGATCGACCCTAGGTCGGGTCATGTGGGATTTGTGGTAGACAAAGTGGCACTAGAGTAGGTTTTCTCCGAGCATTTCGGTTTCCCCTGCCAATTCTCATTCCACAGAATGCTCCACCATCACCTATTATCTGGGGCTGATACGAAGGCCAATTAGTGGCCGAAGTGCAAGGGACTGTCTCACACCACCCAAAGAAACTAAAAAAAAAGACACTATAGTAAATACCAGAAACCGTTAAGATAGATTTTGTGCCCTGTGAAGTTTGGTTCCAGTGACTCACTCCCTTTCCAAAAAAAAAAATATTCAAATAAATGGGGAACTGAAATTCTTGGAAAGGGCATACACTTACAAGCCACATTTTCTTTTTACATCAACAGACACTAAGAACATCATTATTATTCATGTTCCAGGGGTCTGAACACGTTATATAAATATATAGGGCGTGTCCTCACGGGTGTCCTACGATGGGCACATTTCTCACCAATACTCCTATAACAAATGGCCTTTCAAGGTGAATGATTGATTTTGTTTTGTTAAGCGCGTTTTGTGACGACTTTCTGCGAAGAGGTTCAATATCGATTCTTAGCAGACGATCGAAGAGGTGTATTCAAGAAACTAAATTCATGGACAGTTGAGGAATCGAAGTGTATAAAAATATACGTGTATTTGAAAAAGAAGATAAAGTTCTTCAAAACAGCTGTTCCTTTCAGGCAGTCTCTGCTGTACATTCGGTTCATTCTTGGTTATTTTCCTTCCATTTTGACCTTTGCATGGAATAACAACATAAAACAGAGAATGTGGCTAAGATTTAAAATTTCGTGACGTCGGTATATTACTAAAATTTATTTTCTGGTCTACTTCGTCATGTTGTTTTTTTATTTAAATACATCCTGCTTTGTGTTGGTTCTGGTGTCCGGGGATACACAACAGCTCGAGCGATTGGACCCAAATGAATATGCTTTTTTTTTCGTGAGGACAGAGGCAGAATCCAGTCTCCGAAACTTTGTTTAAATCAAAAACAGGACAATTGATAATGTCAAAGTATTAGCAAATAAATGCAGAGAATATGGTACTTACTTCGTCATTGGCAAAATAGGGCTTTTTGATCCGTAGATTTCCTTAAAAGATTCAGCCACATTTGATCCGGTTTTTAATTCTTTAGATTTTGCAACAATAATTTTTTGCCTACTTTCCTCATTTAAAAAAAAATTAAAGTAAATTTATATGATCCTCATGCTGACTGTGTGTCTGTGTATTCCGTTTAGTGACTTTTGAATGCCTGAAACAATTATGAAACTTGTTAAGTACACAAATGGCACCTGAGCCCATCTCAACGGCGTACTTCAAAAATCCCTCCCATCGATCTGCGTGTCTGTGTCCCCTATCGTTGCTAGACAACGGCTCGGTAAAAGAATCCCCCTATTATTGCTAAGCAACTGCTCGATAAATACATAACCACGGCAACGAATACACACAGCAATACAAGAATTTGTGGATGCGTCGTTTTTATGGAGCTCGTGTCTTATTACGGAAGGTGAGCGACTAGTTCTTCCCATAATTTCTTGTTTTAGAGAGCCTTGCGTCCAACCCCCAACCTGGAGTTGAGTGGTCATTGGAGGACGAGGTCTCTGTGTTCATGTCCCGTAGTGACAGGGGGGGGGGGCCAATTATAACCCCAGGCACCGGGTCCCCTTTTTGTCGCCTTCTGCCTTATTCTAACCCGCCTCTACACGGGGTATTTGCATCTTAGGTCAATATATTACGAGTCAGGTTGGTGGAGCTGTGTCAATATACAGTACAACGTCGGCCGCTTTGCGGATTAGCCTGACAGAATTTTTGTAAAATTTTATAACTTCCACAGGAAAAATCCGGTATAATCGTAGTTGGCCGATCTTGAAACAGATGACAGCTCATACTAAACCCTTATTTTCTAATCATTCAAGAGCATCTTTACATTATATTATATCACTTTTAAGCTGAAAATATCTCGTTAAAAATCGATCACGGACTCAGTCACTGGATCACCTCTATCAGGTTTATTGATAACACTCATTGATAGGCAAAAAGGTTGGTAAACAAGTTACTGCGAAGACAGATGCTTGGTAAACAGTCCGTTGCTAGGTTACGCAACAACAGAAGCTGTTTCGGAAGAACATACTATCTCCATTTTCAGGCTGGAAAATTAAGAAAAGCAAGCGACCAGTGTCAGACGACAAATTTTTACTTTCGTTTATCACCTGCCTCTATGTGGTTATTTGCTTGACTTACTCTTCGAACCTGAAGATTGAAGCATTATTTTCATCCGAAAATTCCATGAACTTATATCTGACCACACTGTCTTACATCCCAGATGATAGCACTCTTCATAGTCACTGTTGTGAGCCCCTCAGATACGCCCCTGAACACA